TTTAAACTGAATGGTATTGACATTTAACAATTAGAAATAATAACTATAATTAATTAATTCAATTATTCTACAGTTGGTTTATGATTTTGTTCTAATGTAATACAACAAGTTAATTTATTAATAAAAACTTTTACAGAAAATTAACTGTTAAGTAATGCAACTTAACATTATTTACATTGCAACCCGTCATTTATGTTAAGCTAATATCTTACTATTTTTGTATTCTTTCTTCTCTAATAATTGTTTATGAAAGTAAGATGGACGCACAAGAAAGGTCTCATTATTAAAAAGACTAATTAAATTTAACTTCAGCAGCTCGGAGATATATTTACCGCAGTTAAATGAATTTTTTAATATTGAGGATTCATTAACCCTACGACACACACCCAAATCGAACTACGTAAACACACACCCGGGATTCCCGTGTATCCATTTACAATTTTAGCACATTTTTATTATATTACAAGTAAAATGCAATTGTTTTTTTTGTTTTGCATGTTTAATTTGTTATTCAAAAAGGCTTTTAAACTATATCTCTTTTATAAGATTTGCTTGCAATTAAAATAAAAAGAGGTCTCGATGCAGAGTCAGTGAAATGAAATTAGATAACATACACGAACTTATACAACATTTACGCAAATATTTATAGTTATTTCATTATATAGTTTGAGCCATGCAGAGTAAAACATTTATATACATTTGCTTTTTGACACAGTAGTTGAGGAAAATTCAGTCTGTGCGTCTGGCGACGACGATGAAATCACAGAGCTTGAAGCTAAACCGTCTGATGTTGAGAAGCTGTAAGAGATGAAACGCAGTGGGATACTAGACCTAATGTTTCACATCAAACCTTGCGCCAAAACATTGTCCGTCAAAGTTATGGTGTAGCTAAAACAATCGGAATGCCGTCAGTAGAACAAACATTCAAATGTTTTGTGAGAAATGATGGACATCATTATACGCCACACAAATAAAAAAGCCGAAGACACATAACATATGATACCATATGCTGGCACCAGACGTAAGCTTTTTCTACTCCGATTGGCTGAAGAGCTTAATATGCCAATAATAGAGGAACGTGAACTGAAACGTCAATTTACGCGGAATTTCACCACGAAAATAGCCATTGAAAGTTATTTGAAAGGTCCATTAAAACAGCTTTTAAACACCGATCTATCGGCACCTTTACAAGTACATTCAAGATAATCAATAACAGAAACCTGTTGTCTGTGCTACATTCAGTGTGAAAAAAGCCATAGGAAGACTCGAAAATAATATATATATTATATATATCAATATATATTAATATATATATTATGAAATCAAAATAAGTATTTATATGAGAAGAATACAAAACTCCTGTTATTTGCAAATAGATACACGGGTACCCCAGATGTGTGTTTAGGTTGGTGTCAACTTTGTAAGCTTTTAAATCCTGAACAGTTTTATCGAGAGCAATGAAAATAGATTCAAATTGTTCAAAATTTACAAGGATTTCATGATCCGAAATTACAATGTAGTAACATCACTGGCTTAAAAGATATAGTAGCGCAAAGTAGAAAGTGCATACACGGGTACCCGGGTGTGTGTTTTAGAGTTAACAGCGATAGGTGTTCACCTTGAAAAGGAATTACTATCTATCTTACTATTGTGCAGTCTCCTCCGTAATATGGTGAATTTTGCAGTTGCCACAGAGAGCAGAGATGAATTACCGGACTTAAATAATTTAACAGCGAGATTATTAGAAGAGGAAATAAGAAGGAGTGATCAAGATACTGGCGATAGGGTATTAACTGCGAATTCAAAAAGAGCTTAAAAATTAAAGAGAAATGAAACACGAAATAAATATTTAACTCATGATGCTAAACAAAAAAATAAGATAAAATGTCACAATTGCGCAAAGAGAGACTCGATCATTGCAACAAGTAACTTTACAATCGGGTGCGTGTATAGACACAGAAGAGATTGGTGACATTCTCATAATTACTGAAAATGCAACAACCGACGAAATGTGGCATCGTCGGTTCGGCTACTTAAGTCACCGAGATTTAACAAAATTATCCACTAAAAATATAGTTCGCGGCATGAAGTTAAAAGAAAATAAAACAATAATCAAAAATAATGAGAAATATGATTGCGAAATTTGTGCAATTGAAAAAACCATTTCCAAAACACACGAATGTGGGCACAACAAAGGCACTTAAACTAATCCATAGCGACATATGTGGCCCAATACGGAGAACATCTCAAGGTGGAGCAAAATACTTTATTACATTTGTGGACGATTTTTCTAGATACCTGCATGTCGAATTTATTTCTAAAAAGTCGGATGCCATGAACTGTTTTAAATCATTCATACATGTTGTAGAAAGACAAACGGGTCATAAAATAAAAAGATTAAGCACCGATTATGGTTTAGAAAAGGATGCTGGCAGCAGCAGAGTAAGGGCCTTTTATAAAGTAATGAATAATATTAAAAAAGTTAACCTTTTTGCTAGAGGTAAAGGTAGCCTCTAGCAAATATGTGTAAAAACGCTTTACGAGAAATTGTAAATGATAAGAAAGAGATTATAAACACATGGAAGCAACACTTTGAAAGCCTTCCAAATACACAGCAGAATGACAATGAAGTGAACCAAGAAGATATATAATACGTTGAAACTGAAATTGAAGATCCGAAATAAAATGTGGTAGCAGATGCTATAAAAATCTTAAAAAACAATAAGGCCTCAAGTACTGACTCTATAAACGGAGAATTAATAAAATACGATGGTGAAACAATAAACCGTCTTATACATGAAATTATAAACGAAATTTGGAAAAATGAAAAAATACCTGATGAATGGGGAGTCGGTATATTGTGTCCCATATATAAAAAAGGTGATATGGGTCATTCTTTTACAAACCGGACGGATTTTGGCAAAAAATGACCTCATCACCTCCGATTTGGCTGAAATTTTTTTTATGAGCTCCCTTCATAAAATAAGAAGACCTGTATCTCGGGAAAAAATTTTGTAATTTTTTTCCTAGGAGATATGGACCCCTAGGGGTTTGAGAATTGGCATTGTAGACACATTTTCAAATGGCTATATCTCAAGTTCTATAAAAGGTAGAAACTTGAAATTTATTGCGTTTTAAAGATAATTAGTTGAACTTTTAAGAAATTGTTTAAACAATTAAGATTGTTTATATTTAAGTACTAATATTAACCGTTAAATTTCAAAAAAAAAGATATCTCAAAACGGTAGTCAACATTTTTCATTTTTTATATTTTATTTAGATTCAATTCTAAATTTTACGAAGAAATAAAAATTTTCATGATGGCACCGATTTTTATAAATTTTTTAAATTTTTTTTTTCTCATAAAACACATCAAACACATGCGTGCTATATTTAAATTGAATGAATTTTCAAAAAATATACTACAAATATTCGTATATAATATTTTTGATTTCAATTAGTAATAAAATTGTACATAAAACTCAAAAATTTCAGGACGATATTGTCGTTGGAAGTACTTTTAAAAAATTTATTTATCCTTCACATCACTCCAAACACATACACACGATTTTTCAGTAAAAAAAAAACAGAGGAATACGTCACACAAATTTTTCATTTTTACTTTTAATTCCGATTAAACAATAAATTATTCTTCGAAAATAAATATTTCCAGTGTGATATTGCTTCCAGAAGTAATTTAAAAAAATTAATTTATCAGGTGTCCTTCATGTTACTCATACGCACCATAATACCCTTGAATCAATTTTCCAAGAAAAGTGACACAATATTCACATTTTAAATTAGTTCCGCATCATCTCTATTTTTAAATTATGCATTTTAACATAATTAAACCGTTTTATGAACTTTTTCTTATATTGATGAGTTTAAAAATTAATTAGTTCCACACTAGCTGAACTACCTGTATAACTGCAGCACATAAGTACACCCACCTTCTATGCTGAGTGTTATTCTGCTACAGTTGGAAAAATTCTTTAAGCAGGTAAGAACTGTAAACAGTTTGAAATGGAGTGTCTAGGTACTCCTATCTTTAAAAGATCCAGTATCAAATTTGGTATAAAATGTTAAGTAAGTCTGATAAATTTTCAGTTTCTGTTTTGAAAGCGAACAAACAAGTAAGAACATTTAAATAATGGCAAAAGTTGAAAAAAATAAATTGCATCTACGGCAATTCAATGACTTAAAATGTTTCAATCCGCTGAAGTTAAAAACACATCCAAGAAAGGCCAAAGTAAGGCAAGTTTCAGATAGTATCCTGCGTATGTTGGGGATGCCTAGGACCAAAAAAAATATGGGGAAAAAATATGCAACAGTTGCCGAATGAGACTGGCGATGAGAGCCAAAAAAAACAAGAACAATGAAGGAGCTATATCGGAAAACAACAGTTCGACTACATACGAAACTGAAGTCAGAAAAAGTGCTATTAGTCCATTAAATAAAGCACTCTCTGTAATAAGCAATACCCCAATTACATCGAGAAAACTTTAACAACAGGAATATAAG